ATTCTATATATCAATAATATATCTAATGATAAATTTAGGCAGGACTTCAATTGTAGCCAATAAGACATATTCTCTTGTGGCCGGAGGAGGGAACTAAGATCTGAACACAGAGAGTTCCTAATAATTCAGCGACACTGAAACAATATAAAGCATAGCATATGTTATGTGTGTTATATGAATATGAAGCAAGGCAATATGTCTTTGAGTCAGACTTGATCTCTGGCAACTGCTGGGAAAGTCCATGCAGTCTTCTTGGCAACATTTTCAGAAGTGATTTGCCACTGTCATCTTAGAGCTGAGGAGGAGGGACTAGCTCAAAGTCATCCAGCTGACTTCCATGCCTAAGGTAGGACCAGAATTCAGGTTTTCTTGTTCTAGTTCTTGAGTACTAGTGACCAGTGTTTATTAATCAGTAATGCATTAACTGAGCTACTCTTAACAAAATCTGAACAATTAAAAACAATAAACTATTTACTGTAGGAATCAAGTGGCCTCATCTCTACAACTTAAGTTAGATTTGGAAGCTAAACTGAGCCAGGCTCAATTGGAGATGGGGTGGGATAGCAACAAGGAATTCCTAGTCTAGGAAGCTACGAAACATCTTGGAAAAAAGCAACAGCAAACCAGTTCTACACCATTGTTGAGAAAACTGACTGGATATAACCCATTCAGGGATGAGAACCAGAGCTCAATACAAGGATATGTTTTACAGTATCTCCTTCTAATGCATGCATTCTTACCTTTAGTGAATCAAAGCAGGCAATCACTCTTCCACTTTCAACCTGGCAGCTTTTGGATGGGTGTGCAAATTTACATTCCTCATCAGAACGTGAACAAGTCCCTCTCTGAAACTGCCTGCACACTTCTAGCGTCAGCCATTTTGTGTCTCTCACTGGAGCAACAATTGAAGCCATGATGTAAAACAGCTTTTGATTTTGTGAGTCGTTAATGAAATAGTCTCTGTTTAAAAACTCTAAAAAGCCAAGATGTTCCTTTCAATAAAACCAGGCATAGCTTAAGAAAATCCAATGCCTACGAAGATAATGTACAAAGCGGCTATTATCAGTGAACATTGTAGTTATCAACCAATATATGCCACTTGTACACTTTTGTCTGCAATATATTCATGCTCAGTAGCATTTCTGGCCAACGTTCATGCTACTGGGGGGAAAAAACTTTGTTTTCATACAATGGCATTCTTTTATACATTTTAGGCTGTAGTATCCTCTTCGTTGGTGTTGATTAGGTAGGAAAGGCTACAGATTCAGCAGTTCTTGTTTAGTTCAATATTTTTTCACACGTTTTGTAAATGCTGGAATCAGATTCACAGGAAGCAGCTGCTATAGTTGATTTGTAAGGTTAAAGCCAATATCTAGCTGTGAGAGATGATCATAAGAATGAGGCTGTCACTGTACAATGACTACATAAGGCACTTATAGTGCAGAAACCTGTGAAAACAAAGTGAAAAAGTTGTTCAAATAATATATAAATACAAGTTTTCTAGAAAATGTTCTAGAAATGTAACTACAATATAACTTGTATAACTGCATATTTTGAAAACCCAGGAAATAAAAAGTCAAGATGCACAATACAATAATCCATTAAAGTAATAAAATGATATTCAGAATAAAGTTTTTCTCATCAGATTTATTCGCTTTTGGGGGTAAAGACCAAGCTGTCGGTAGATTAAGATTTTAATATTTTTATGCATTCTGGAACACCAGGAATGGAATGCTGATGATAACACACTTTAAATACAATAACTGAGCCTTTTAATTTGGTTACATTGTGAACGGATATGCTGAATATTGAGAAGACTCACTAAGTTTCCATTTCTTCCATGTGCAGTACAATTTTATAGAGGCTCACAATATCACTGGATACACTATTTGAACTGCAACACTATTTATACACTGGTGCTTAAAAGTTTGTGAACCCTTTTGAATATCAATATTCGGCCTAAGTGTGACCTAAAACATTTTTGTGAGATAGGTGATCATATAAATTTGATACATGAATAAGCAAATAAATAAAACATGATCTGTTCTCCATGTAAGTCCTAAACCTGAAAATGAAAATAACCCAATCAAATGGGTCAAAAATATACTTTTTCATTTATTGACTGAGGAAAATAATCTAAAAATCTCGAGTATCGCAAATTACCAGAAGAAACTCTTCTGTCCTTTCTTGATGCTGTGCTTTCCCTTCAGAGTGAATAATTCTCCTTTTCCATGCCATAATTTGCACTACCAATGTAGAGAGAGTACCTCAAAGTCACTACTAGTTAAAATGTGACATGATTTTAAAAAACAATTGTCACTGGCAAACACAAAACTTTTCCTGTTGACAACCAATTCAAGCTACACAAATATTTTGGATGAATCTCGGGCAGCATGGTTTTCCTCAGGAATGACAGGAGTTGGTCCAAACTTCTGGACTACAGCTTGTTGATAAATGTTATACCCATTTCTGTTATAACATTTCTGTTGTATTTTGGAAACTAGCAGGGATGGGAAAATTCTTGAATTTCTCTAAGATATATCCTGTAATGAAGAAGTCAGTTGAGAGGCCAGATTCTCGCTTCAAAGCACTAACAAGTAGTGAGAGGAGTTTTGCTCAATTTCAAATGACAATATTGTCATTGAAGACTGAGAAATATTCCTTCTAACAAAAATCATAAAGATTCTAGGAAGGAGTAGTACTTGTATTTTATACATCTTTTTTTCTTCTATTCAATCATGTCTTGATTCTCAGAGACTGAATAAATCCTTGCAGTTTTCTTCACAAGATTTTCAGAAATGGGTTGCCATTGCCTCCTTCTTCCTAAGGTTGAGAGAAAGTGACTGGCCCATGGTCACCCAACTGGGTTTGTGCTTAAGGCAGTACTAGACCTCAGGTTCTTTGAAATCTATAATCTATAAAGACCTTTGTTCTGTACAGTAATTAGCATTCTTGTAAACCCCGCGCCGTGATTGGCTAAAGCGCGCGGCGACCGGATTGGCCGAGCGAGCCGCACCGATTGGCCCGTTAAGAATCTCCCGCGATTGGACAAGCCAAGAGCGGGAGATTCGAAACGATGTCATTGGTCGCGGCCGCCGCGGCTTGAGAATAAAAAGGCGCAGGTTTTTTCCTTAAAGCTAAGCATGTACTGGAGCACAATAAAGAGCTGAACTTGTCACTGACTCCGAGCTTCCTTCCTGCGCCGGACACGACAACCTTCAAGATTTGGCACCTGGATACCTACGCATCACCTCCTCCAACTGGATTCAAACCGGCCTATTTGATCATGTAAAGAGGACTCCTTGTGGATCCACACCTCCATGAAACTAGAGGGCACCACTTCTCCTAAGCAGCACCAAAATGGGGTCGCCATTGGAAGTTATTAAAAACCAAGCTTTCTCAAAGAGACCTTCATTATCTGCGCTGCTTGTGGTTTTCTCTTCTACTTTAGTTTAGTTTTTATTATTTGAATTGTATGCCATTCTAATTCCGATGTCATTTTATTGACACTGTAAATACTGAAAGTTACAAGATTGAATTAGGATAAAAATCAAGTACAGTGGTACCTTGGGTCACAAACGCTTCTGTTCACGACCGAATCAGGTGACAACCAGAATTTTTGCTTCTGTTCACGAACAGATCTTCGGTTGGCGACCAAGCAAACCCAAAAATCACTGCGATTTCCCCTTCAGTGCCATTTTTTTTGGTCCGTGCATGCATAGACAGTCGTGCTTCCAGTCACGACCAAATTGGGTAGCAACCATAGTCCTGGAATGGATTGCAGTCATGACTCGAGGTTCTACTGTACTGGTATCTTTTTTCTATCTTCAGCAAAGGAAGAGATTATGGTAATCTGATTCTGCATGTGACCAAGAGTTCTGCCTCACTTGTGGACATAGATAGCTAATGTATACAATGAAAGGAACTATATCAGAATCCTTGAGTCTTGCTTTACTATAATTTTGAATAATCATAGGCACTTAATCAATTTGCTTTCTCTTATCCCTTATATTTTGCTCAGATTTTGGGGATGAGTTCAGGCGAGATGCTAGAAGTTAATATCTAAATATAATTTGTAAGAAGGAACAAGAAATGCACCAAGATGCAAACATAGAGAGCTAGTTACAGTATTATTCCCGTACATGAAGACGTCAGTAAAGAGCTAGTGGAAAGAATAAATGTATGGAGCAGAGGGTATTTTTTTCATTAAAAAAATGAGAAAGAGATGTATTCAAAACATCTCTTGGGCTTTTCAGGATGAATTTGCTCATTGTTTCTGTTTTCTTCAGCACCCTTTTCCCCCCACCACAATTCTGACCGTGAAAGATTAATGAAGCATTTAATGACTCTGCAATGGATGGGTAAGAATTTAACATCTCTTCAGTGTGTATCTTCCAGAAAGATCTTGAAAGACTTTCCCTTGCCCGTTTCCTTCTTCCTCTTTCTTTTAGATTAGATTAGGACACTGAATTTTGTAATCGCTTATCAAACCTAAACAGTTCAACTCTAATCTCTTATCCAGCTAAGTATAGGAACAATGAAGACAAAAAGTTGTCTGCTTTGGGAGCCTCGTGGACACAACTTACTGAAGAACAGAAAGGGCTGTTGCTTGAATATTGTGGCATTGCCATATCTGAGGAAATGAAATGCATGTTTGGGAAAAAAAATGTAAAAGTATCTAGGGGTCAATCTGGCTGAAGTGTCATTTTAAAAATTCAGAGGCAGATTTGGTAGAAACATTTATAAACAAAACCAGAGTCTCTTAGGAGCTAATCTGGTAGAGGTATCCCCAGGAGTACCTTGGGGGCAAATTTAGCAGAGAATTCCCTGGAGGGTGGAGATGAAGATTAGCTGAAGCTACTAATGCAGAGAACTTGACAGTAATGTTCAAAGGTAGTGAGTGAACTGACAAGAGTCACGACAGAGCTGTGACTAGTTAATTAGCAGTCCTTGGCATTGGATAGAATAGAACAGAACAGAACAGAACAGAACAGAATAGAATAGAATTCTTTATTGGCCAAGTGTGATTGGACACGCAAGGATTTTGTCTTTGGTGCAATTGCTCTCAGTGTACATAAGAAAAAATACAATACAATACAATACATTCATCAAGAATCATAAGATACACTTAGTTCTAGTCATAAGTTACTAATAAGCAGTCAAATCATACTAGAAAACAAATAAAACAATATAAATTGTAAAGATACAAGCAACACCGTTATAATCGTAAGTTGGAAGAGATAGAGAATAGGAAGGATGAGAAGAATAATAGTAATACAGTCTTACTAAATACAGTCTTACTAAATACAGTCTTACTAGTTTGACAGTGTTGTGGGAATTAGTTATTTAGCAGAGTGATCGCATTTGGGGGGAAACTGTTCTTGTGTCTAGTTGTTCTGTTGTGCAGTGCCCAGATTGACAAACTCTCAAAACAGAGTCATGTGAGTGGAAGGCATGAGTCCAATTCCCCCAAAACTATACTGGACACAATATATTAGGTGTCTAGAGTCTGTTGGGCATGCAAGCTACATTTACATCTTTTAAGACTAACATCCAAGATAGAATGAAAGATACAAGTCGGGCCCCTAAAAGAATAGAAATGAGGTGGCATTAAGTAGTAAGAAAACAGTCTTGTTACATTGCCTTAAGCAGGGGTCTTCAAACTTGACAGCTTTAAGACTTGTGGACTTCAACTCCCAGAATTCCTCCTCCAGTCATGTTAGCTCAGGAATTCTGGGGGTTGAAGTCCACAAGTCTTAACTTGCCAAGTTTGAAGACCCTTGGCCTTAAGTATGGGGGGGAAAGAACAGAAATGTATTAAGAATTTTTTATAAGACACTAAAACTACATCAGCCCAAAATGAAAATTATGATAATAGAATTAACAGAATTGGAGGGGCCTTGGAGGTCTTCTAGCCCAAGCAGGAAACCTTATACCATTCCAGACAAAGTTATCCAATCTCTTCTTAAAAACCTCCAGTGTTGGAGCATCTACAATCTCTGAAGGCAAACCTGATTCATTGTTCTTAATATCAAGAAAAATGTCCTTAGTTCTAGGTTGGATCTTTCTTTGTTAAGTTTCCATCCTTCTTGTCTTGCACTTGGGTGCTCTGGAAAATAGATTGCCCCCTCTTCTTTGTGGCAATCTCTCAAATATTGGTAGACAGCTATCATATTACTCCTATTTCTTCTCTTCATTAGACTAGACATGCTTAGTTTCTATAACCGTTCATCATGTTTTTGGCTCCAGACCTCTAATCACCTTTGTTGCTGTTCTTTGCACTTTTCCTAGAATCTCCACATCTTTTTTGTAGAATGGTGATCAGAACAGTATTCCAAATGTTGTTTTACCAAGGAAATTTATAGAAGTAATAATATTTCATGTGATCTTGATACTATTCCTCTTTTTATGCAGCCTAGGACTTGTTGGCTTTTTTGGTAACTGCAGC